AATATTAATTTTTAGATCTCGATTAAGCACTCTAGGCGCTCTAGGCACTGGGCGTTGGTCGAGCGCCTAGCGACTTTTAGAACACTGATGGATAGTCGATAAAGTCCGTTTTGTATGTAATTAAAATGAATAAAAAATAAAGTATCTAATATTAATTTTTAGATCTCGATTAAGCACTCTAGGCGCTCTAGGCACTGGGCGTTGGTCGAGCGCCTAGCGACTTTTAGAACACTGATGGATAGTCGATAAAGTCCGTTTGAGGGTGACCGCCTGACTTCATAAGGCGCTGCCAAATTGACCGCGTTAATATAACTTCAAAATTCCTCATTTATTTATTTACCCTCAAAATATGAATGTGAACAAATAATAAGCCTTCACTAAGAAGAAAATTCCTAACACGCTTTATCACTTTTTTTTAGTATCATACAAATCTCACCTTATAATTTCTCGCCCTAAAAGGCTAAAACAATAAAATTGACGGACAAAAACTCCGGCAATACTATCTCTTTTGTCTTCTACAATAGTCGTCTGAAATAAATACATATAACCGAAAAAAAAAAATTGGGATAAAGATAAACACGAGAATGGGGAAAAAGCTGGATGTTCTGCTGAGGAGAAGTTTCAAGACCTCAAAATTCAAGGCCACGGTGGCTATGGCTGTTTCCCGGCTGGCCGTGCTCCGAAACCAGCGCCACGCCCGGTGCTCGATTGCCCGGTCCGACGTCGTCGAGTTTCTCAAGAATAACAGCCATGAAAGAGCTCTTCTCAGGGTAATTTCTCGTAATATACAATTATTTATCACAATTTTTTGTTTTTTAGTTTTGTATTTTTTGTCTATAATTTAGCAAGTTAATCAGATTGATTTGAAGATAGAAAAAAAAATAATTTGCTTTATTTGTATTTTACACAACAAATTTGGTCCCTAAAGGGTGTAATTTTGAGTTCATTTGCTTGTAATTTTGAATTCCTATATTTGTGGTGTTGATAATAGGTTGAGCAGGTGATCAAGGAGCAGAACATGTTGGATGTATTTGTTTTGGTGGAGGGCTATTGCCATCTGTTGGTAGAAAGGGTCCACCTTTTTGAACAACAAAAGTGGGTTTTTTTTATTTATTTTTTATTTTATTTTTTTAATTGTTAGCACACTTTTGATTTGTTGGGACAAGTTTGCATATGCTGAATTTTGTTTCTTCTAAGTCCATTTCTTGGTATGTAGTTTTATTTTTTTTTTTTTGAAAATGAGTGTAGAGTTTGCCCTGAAGAATTGAAAGAAGCTGTGTCAACTCTAATCTATGTTGCCTCGAGATGTGGGGAGTTTCCGGAACTTCAACAGATTCGCTCGATTTTCGCCTCACATTTCGGGAGGGATTTTGCTGCTAGGGCCGTCGAGCTACGCAATAACTGTGGGGTGAATCCTAAGGTATGCTTGCGTCCAGTGGCGGAGCCACACCTTGTGGCTGGGGTCCGCTGACCCCTATGGATTTCAAAATTTTTAGTATAAAATACTGTTCAAACACTGTTTACTAGGTTAATGACCCCGCTAAAAAATATTGCCAACCCTGGTGAAATTTGAGGCTGGCTTCGCCCCTGCTTGCGTCTCATCAAGAACTATGTTTTCTTTAGTTAAGAAATTTACTAATCTATAAGAACCGAAAAAAAGTTTTTGAGTTTGAATTCGTATGTTGCTATCTTTGTTTCGTTTTCTTTTTTCGCCAGATTATACAAAAGCTGTCGACTAGGATGCCAAGCTTGGAGAGCAAAATGAAGGTTCTCAAAGAGATTGCTTCGGAAAACAACATTGATCTACCAATCGAGGAGACTGCAGTTGAAGTCAAGATGGTATGCAATTTTTATTTTTTTTTCAACAGGGTCCTCTTTTTCTTGTGCTGAATCTCGTACTTCATGTATATCGGTATAATATATAGTTGAACCCATTATCTACTCGTTTCGTGTTTGTATGAGTCTCTTCTTAGAAAAAAAAACTCCATTGGAAGTTTTATGCATTGATTAATAAATACAAACCTCAAGAAATTGTTTGTGATTTATGACCAAACTTCATAAGTAGCTTTACCTGGATTTTCCTTAGGCTTGTGCATTTAGAAGAACCAAATTATGAAGTGTAGGCTCAAAATGGATCTTTTTGGTTAACCAAGCATAATTTGGAAAAACGTAAAAATGTGTTTGATTAGCTGTTAGTGGGATTTTGAGTTTATATTAAAATAATAGTTAAAAAAATAATATTGTAATCGTATCATGGTTTGACGTGATGGCGTCATTTTTGTACACATGGCATTCACACAGTCCTGATATGATCCCGTCTCCTCATTATATGCGCGTGAATTCTAGGAATATAAGGAGGAGTCTTACGAAAAGACACGTGTGTTGGGCCCACCGGCCCAGCTGGAAGGTTCCCATCAAGAAGAGAATCTCGAAGCACCAAGCAACCCAGGATTAGGTCCGAGGAGGAAATACCGAGATGTGGCCGACGCAGCACAAGCAGCCTTTGAATCGGCGGCTTATGCCGCAGCTGCCGCCAGAGCCGCGGTCGAGCTGTCCCGTCCCGGACCCTTCGACCCCAGTGGGCCCACGAGAACCGAACACCAAACCTTCGAGATGATTGACGAGACTAAGGAATCAGAAAATATCCTCAACACGAATGAAAATGCAGCGGCAGCTGATGATAAGGGGTCGGTTTCTTGTAGGGGATTTGATTCCTCTGATGAGAATGCGAAGAGAGACGGAGAGGTTAAGGTACGAGAGATTGTTTTCGATGATGAGAGTGATGAAGGTCATGAAGGGTTCAATAGAGCTGATGTAAAAAATTGTAATACACAATTTGCTATTGAGAAGGAAGAAAAAAGAGAGGCTTTGAGCATCAACAGGCGGCCGATATCTGTGAGGACGAGAAGGGCACGTTGAACACGACAAGCATATGTGCACACGGGCTCGTGATCTTCAAGTAGTAGTATTACTTCAAATTTTGTATAATTATGTAGAAATTTGGTTTTTTTTTTTTTTTTTTTTT